GCCGGCAAAAAACATAGAGCCGCCACCGAACTTTATTTATTCCGAAGAAAGGGAAAATATCGAGAAAACCACAAGAGGATGGATAAGATGGTCTTACAACCAAGAGAAAGAGTAAGGGAGTCAGTTATGCGAGGGGAAGGTATTAGCACCCCTCACATCCGTTGTACTCAACAAGATCCATTTTGTTTATTTGCTTCTAAGGGTGTATTTATCTATAACTATACTTTCTAAGGGGGAAGAAAATGGTTTTTTATTATTGTGTTCGCGAGGGTCTTGCAACCCTTTGCCTATGTATCTAGTGAAGGAATCAGAACACCGTAGTTCCTCTAAAAAATGTTGGTTTGTTGGTGTTTTTTAGTGGACGATGTTAATGCGCACATTCTAGCAATAGGCACGACCTGTATCACGGTAGAATGGAGATAACATGCCCTTTTGGGGTGTTTTGATTGGTTGAGTGTTTTTTGCGAGTTTTAGAATGAATTCGAATAATGATTAAATGTTTTTGGATTTTTGATTTGTGAATGATAAGTTTTAATCTTAATTACAAAAGAAAAGTCAAAGGGGAAAGTCTACCCTAATGTTGTCATACATGGGTTCCAACCTAAGGCCTAATTAGTTCGTATCTTAAGAAGAGGAAACTATCATCCTAAGAGAGCATGTTATAAACATAAAGTAAAAGGAGACGGTGTTTGTGAAGAGTGCTTATGTAGGGTGATCATGGAAAAAGTGACGACAAAATAAGTAGTATCATGAAAGGCATAAATGGAATGCTTGGTGTATGGAAATTGAATCGGGTTATGATTAACTAAGGGGTGCACTTGATTAATCTCGTGAGAGTAGGTGCTCCTACCCTCAACCATGAAACCCTTTATGCATGGAAACACTTGGTATATGGACCAAAGTGGTTGATTCGGGTTATGGTTAACCAAGGGCAAGACTTAATTAACCTCGTGAGAATGACCATGCCCAAACTCAACTATGAGACCCTTTAAGAAAAGCTCGGTATGTGAACCAAGGAAAGAGAGAAGTTGCTTCAATGTATAAGAAAAAAATCAAAAGCCTATACAAGGTGGCTATATGCATGCTCCTAAAAAGTGGGACTAGCATGTTGCTAGTATTCTAAACGACCAATTGGAACAGTCGATTGAATATTGTCACTGTAGGAAAGCCCAGGACCAAGCTATGAAATGTGTGCAAGTGTGCATTTGTTAGTGGATACCTTTTCATTGATGATGAGCCCAAGAGGAGACCATGTGCTCTAATTGAATGACATATGCATAATTAAGCAACAATTAAACATACAAAAAATAAGCTCTAAACTATTACAATCATACGGGGATGGGGGGTACAAGTTTATAAATGAGAATGAGGTAGAAACCTAATTAAATTATTACAACCATATTGAATAAATGAATAGCAATGAAAAAATATTAAAAAAATATAAAGATAGTGTAAAAAGAAAGGAAAATTGTTTTTTTTTTAACTTTTATATATTGACACATGCATTTATGCATCGATACATAACACTTCTTGTTTTTGGAAAATCATGATTAACTCAGTATGAGTCGATACATAATGTTTTTGTGTCGACTCATTTCTCATTTGTATCGACACATTCGTGTTTTGCGTCGACTCATACTCATTTCTTGCCCCTGGAAATCAAAAACAACAGTATGAGTCGACACATAAGGGTTTGTGTCGACTCATTTCCGTTTTGTATCGACACATGCGTGTTTTGTGTCGACTCATAACCTGTTTTGTGCCTGATATACATTGACTCATACTGCTGTTTTATTATTTCTAACATTGTTCTGCTACATGTAAAAGTCGGTTCTCAATATATAATTGATAAAAACGAAAAGCAAGCACGTGGTTAGCTTCAAGGGTATGATATCTATATTTATCTTTAAAAATGAATCACTAATGATGCTTGAAATGAAGAGCTCAAGGTCAAGAAGACTTACCTTGAAACTAAAATTTGTGTTTTGAGTTTGAACACCTTTCAAGAGGCTGTGATAATCAGAATGGATTCAGTGAACTTCTAGGAAGTTGCTCCAATCCTTACTTTGTATTGAAATCTGCAAGGTTGTACATGGGGGTTGAAGGTTTTTTCTGTTTCTGTTTTCCTTTGAGTTGCTACTGTTTTTTGTAGCTGCTGTTTTATGGTTCAAAATAGTTTCATGGTTGCTGCTGTTTTTCTTTTCTGGTTTTACAGTGTTTTTCTTCTCTTCCTCTCAGTTTTTTTCTCTCTCTTTTCTCTGCTGTCTTTTTTTCTTTTCTCCTCTCTCAATATTGCTATTGTATCGCTTTTTTCTCTCAATATTGCTATTATCTCTTCTCCTCCCTTTTCTTTCTCAATATTGCTATTGTTTGTATATCAGCTGAGAGGTGGGAATTGGGGGGATATGTTTGTGAGATTTTAAAAAAATTTGACATGTTGTTTCACTACTTTTCCATTACAGATTTGGGTGACTTTTATTTTATGTAATGTTTGGCATTTGTTGGCATCAGTTTTGACAGTTTTAGTAGGATGTCTTTGCAGGTTTTTGGACTGTTATGCATGGACTGTTTTGGTGTAGGAACAACAGGTTTTGGACTGATATGTTTAGACTGTTTTTGTGTGGGTTTTGGAGTGGAGTGGGCAAGTTTATGGACAACAGCAGTTTGGACAATTTTGTGGGCTGGTTGATGCAAACTTTGGGCTTTATACAACAGTAAATTGGACAATATTATTATGTAGGTTTTGATAGTTTGGACTGGTTTTGGGCCTGTTATATTTGGACAGTTTGGACTTGTAATGAGAAATTCCTTTGTATGATTTCAAATGGTCATGGCATGAATTCAAAAATAATTGCAAGATAATCAATAGTGGCTTGAATGTTGAATATAGTAACTTATGATGTAAGAAATTGGTGACTTGTAAACCAAAGACATTGTATGAAATACCAATTTCTATTATTTCTAATTTGCAATCTAAATCCAAGTTTTCTTTCTCTTCCAATTTCGAATCTTCATGACAAATTCAAACCACTTTGAAAATAATAGATGTCATCTTAGTTTAAAATTTAGTCCCTCAAGAAATATGAGGTTGCAGCAGGGAAGAGGTAACACAAGTTCTAATGAACTAGTAGAATTTTCAAAATGGATCTTAAATGTCGGAGATGGTAAGATATCTGAACCAAATGATGGATTGGTTGAGATAGAGATTCCTCAAGAATTATTAATATCCAATTTTAATGATCCTATAAAAGTTATTGTTGAAAGCACATATCCCAATTTGTTGGAGAATTTTCAAGATGTTGCATATTTACAAGGAAAGACAATTCTTGCATCAACCATTGAAGTTGTAGACAAAACCAATCATTATGTACTGGACATGATACCAGGTAATAAAATGTTAATGTATTAATAATTCAATTTTATTGCATTTTTTAGAACAAGAGAAAGAGTATTTAAGTTTCGATTCAATTGATAGAACTGATACAAGTTATACAGAAGCTTATGAAGTTATACAAGTTAGAATTGATAATGTCGGATTGTATTTGCCTACACTTGTTTGTAGTCATGGACAATTATATGTTTCAATTTCAAGAGTTATGACCAAAAATGGTCTTAAAATCTTAATACATGGCAAGGAGAATGTACCGTGTTCGACCACTACAAACGTTGTATACAAGGAAATTTTCCAAACACTTTGTTAGTTGGTAATCCTTTTCACATTTTCCTTTGTGATACAAATTAAATATCAATGTTTATTTATATGTATAGATACCACATACTTTCTTTAGTTTTTTAAATATACAAAATAATTAATATCTTATTTGATACAGTTCTCCATGCAGATATATGATGCGGGTTGTTGTTATTGGTTGCTTCCTTCATTGACGAAGTTCAACTATGATACTATAGAGATATTTACATGTGCACTTATAAGACTGAAAAGTTTGTATGTTTTATTTGTGACAGCAATGTTAATTTTGTTGTTTAATATACTATTTAGTTCAAAATAGATTGAATTTTTGGTTGAATTTGATTAACTTAACTTTGATATAAGAAAGAACTTTGCAAATCATTATTAGATCATGTAATGTGAAATTCAGACAGAACTCATACGATAGCACAAGTTTTTTATTAATATATATATATATATATATATATATATATATATATATATATATATATATATATATATATATATATATATATATATATATATATATATATATATATATATATATATATATATATATATATATATATATATATAGATTGTGAAGTGACGTATACATCGAGCCAAACATAACTAAGTATCATACTAAATTCCAAATTGTCAAATGTGGCTAAGAATGTTTTTAGTTTTAAAAAATGATTTTTTTTTTTGTATTTTTTTAAATAAATTTTACAAAATTATTATTTTTTTATTTATTCTAAATTGAGACATTAATTTTGACATCCTATAACATAAATATATATTATTAAAGATCAAAACATAGTCAAAATTATATTTTATTTTTTAAAAAGCTATATTTCAAAAATGATTTTAATCAAAATTTATTTAAAATAATTTCAAAATTAAGTGATTGTTTAAAACTTTAATATAAAAAAAAATTTCATAAAAAAATGAAATATCATCAATAATATTTTAAAAATAACTATTCAAACTAAATTTCCATTTGAAAAAATTTCTTTATAAATTCTTTTACACAAAATTATATAACACTATAAAAATTATTTTTAAATTAACGCTATAAAAATCATTTTGAAATTGTCCTAGGAATCATACTAAATTCCAAATTGGTTCAATTATTTAACCTGTCATTATATTTTGTGCCCACTCTACATGTGCCAAATTCTAGAACTTGGGTAATCTTTTATATTTTAAAAAATTGTGACCAAGCAAAACTCTCCTTCTTTGCTATAAATATATTGCATAAATATACACGAACACAAAGAGGTGTTCTAATCTAATCACCTTAGCTCTAAAACAAAACAAAAAACCAATGGCCAATCCAAACTCTATGCTTCCTTTGTATGAAAAAAATGGGTACAAACACAATTACAAAAGAGTATTGGATAGCATAATTTTAATCCTTCTTTTGTTGCTGCTTGGTTACCGTTTCATATCTGTCAACAACTATTCCCTTCCTTGGTTTGTTGCTTTAATGTGTGAATCTTGGTTCACCTTAGGTTGGATTTTCACCATGTCCACTCAATGGACTCCTGCTCTTGTTAAAACCTACCCTCAACGTCTCCTCCAAAGGTACTTATATCTATTCTTCAACTTTTTTTTCTTTAGCATATACAAACGAATAACCGTTAAAAATTCATATACACAACTGTTAAATATATTGACAGTTAGTGTTTGAATTAAGATTTAACAAATATACTATTCATCTCGTTTTACTAACTATTAATGGTAATATATTTGTTCAATACCGGTAGCGTAGAAGAACTTCCAGCAGTGGATTTATTTGTGACAACCGCAGACGAGGAGTTAGAGCCAGCAATCATTACAGTAAACACAGTCCTATCACTATTATCACTCGATTATCCATCTCACAAACTATCTTGTTACGTTTCCGACGATGCTTGTTCTCCTCTAATTTTCCACGCACTTCACCTAGCTTCAAACTTCGCAACACATTGGGTCCCTTTCTGTAAAAAGTACAACGTTCAAATTAGAGCTCCATTCAGATACTTCAAGGATGACACCGAATGCACGACGAATAATGAAGAATTCAGACAAGAATGGTTGCAGATGAAGGTGAGTGAGTAACAGTAACAAGCTGTTGCTGCTGAATGATTCACTTGGTTCTGTCCACAAAATGCTAAACCGTTTTTGTTTTGCTTGCGTGTGTTGATAGAATATGTATGAAAATCTTAGCCATGAAATAGATGTGAACACGAAATCCATTCCAACCTTACTTGAAGGAGAGATTGCAGTTTTCTCAAATACTAATCGGACAAATCATCCTGCTATTATCAAGGTATTAAAATATACTAGTATACATTACTTCATTGAAAAAATCTATAACATTCATTTTAACATATCTAAGATTATATATATGACAAAACATTAATTTTTAATGTTGACGTGCATGATGAATTTATAAGGTTATATGGGAGAACAAGGAAATGGGTGAAGATGGATTGCCACATTTGATCTACTTATCTAGAGAGAAGAGGCCAAAGCAACCACATCATTTCAAAGCTGGTGCCATGAATGTCTTGGTAAATAAATTATATTTACATCCTTAATTAGGTTTAATAGATAATAACATTTGTTTATATGAGTAATCACATCATTATCCTATTATAAACATTTTATTTAAGCTCCCTGGTTTTTATTCAGACAAGAGTCTCTGGATTAATTACCAATGCACCTTTCATGTTGAACGTCGACTGTGACATGTTTGTGAACAATCCAAAGATTGTTCAACATGCAATGTGCATTTTGCTTGAATCAAAAGGAGAAAAAGAAGTTGCTTTTGTTCAATGTCCTCAACAATTCTATGCTACACTCAAAGACGATCCTTTTGGAAATCAGATGGCCATTCTGTATAAGGTGATATACGAAACCATAAATATACCAAATAAATTTTGTCATTACATTAATTTGATCACTTTTTTAAATAACGCATGCAGTATATTGGAGCTGGATTAGCAGGACTCCAAGGCATATTCTACGGTGGAACAAACTGTTTCCATAGAAGAAAAGTTATATACAGTCTTTCTCCTGATGACTTAGAAAATGGTACACACATATCAGAGGAGGACTTAAAACAAAAATTCGGAGCTTCGAAGGAACTTACGAAATCAGTTGTACATGCTTTGGAAGGGAGGACTTATTTACCTAGTGACATTAATGTTAAAATAGCAGTTGAAGAAGCTAGTCAAGTTGCTTGTTATGGATACGAATATGGAACTGCCTGGGGTAAACAGGTTTGTTGCACAAACTTATAACTTAACCTATATTATATTTCTTGTTGAAAGATTTTAAGTGATGAAATTAAAAGTCGCTTTGAGTGTATTGAATTTTAGGTTGGTTGGATGTATGGATCAATAACCGAAGATGTCTTAACTGGATTAACAATGCACGAAAAAGGTTGGAGATCAGAATTATGTACACCAGATCCAGTTGCTTTCACAGGTTGTGCTCCATCTGATCACCCAACAAGTATGTCACAACAAAAGAGATGGGCCACAGGAATGCTTGAAATCTTCTTTAGCAAGCATTGTCCTATTTTTGGTACCATATTTGCTAAACTTTCTTTTAGGGAATTCTTAGCTTATATGTGGATCATTAATTGGGGCTTCAACCCAGTTGCTCTAGTATGCTACTCTTGTCTCATTGCTTATTGCATCATTACCAACTCATATTTCTTGCCAAAGGTGAGTAGTGAAAAATACACATATACTTACTAATGTTAGTGCTACACAAAGCCGTCTTTAGGGACATATAAAACGGACTACTGTAGAGGGTCTAAAATTTATTGACTAAATAGAGCCTCATAAATGTTTGTCACGATTAAACTCTCAGCAAACAAAGCCCTCATAATTTTTCCACGGTTGAACTATGGCTAACTTATGAGAGTCTCTAAAAATTTAAGACAGCCCTAGTGCTAGTACTACATATAGAGATAACTCGTGAGGACATAATAATACACTCTTATGTTTTGTTTGATTTCAGGATCAGGGCATATATATTCCTATAACAATAGTTGTGATTTACAATGTATATACTCTATATGAATATTTGGCTTCAGATATGTCAACTAGAGCATGGTGGAACAATCAAAGAATGTCAATAATAACACCTATGAATGCTGGATTATGTGGATTTATTACCGTGTTACTAAAATTATTGGGAATATCCAACACTGTTTTTGACATAACAAAGAAAGCTCTTCCCCCGTTTAGCGACGATACACGCGATAAGAATGCCGGTAGACACACGTTTGACGAGTCGTTGATATTTTTGCCGGGAACTACTGTCTTGTTGTTGCAATTGACAGCAATATTGATCAAGTTATTAGGGCTTCAAAAACAAGTAATGAGGGGGAATTATGAGTGTGGAATGGTTGAAATGTTGTGTAGTGTGTATTTGATCATATGTTACTGGCCATTTCTTAGAGGATTGTTTGAGACAGGCAAATATGGGATTCCTTTGACTACAATATGCAAAGGAGGAACTTTGACATGTTTGTTTGTCTTTCTATGTAGAAGGACAGTTTCTGGTTGATATATGCTATTTAGGATATAAATGTCTACACCATGTGTCATAATATTTGCTTAGACATTTCTTTTAGAAATTGTAAATTATTTGTAAAGTGTAGCACTTGTCCGAAGGTGAAAACCATGCACTTCATGGTTCTTGTTTCGAAAGAATTTCATTACCAAAATGCATTTTATTCTTTTTGCAAGCAAATTTAAATAATGTGCTTATTAGGTTTAAGTGTTTTCAAAGGATTAGAATGAAATTGAAATTTTTTTATGCTTAAATGGTTGACTCTTCATAAAATGTTAATCGAGTAATTTAATTTAAAGATTAAGGTTCCATATATTTTCTTTAAGAAAACAGATTTTTTATTTATATTTTTTATAAAAAAAATTCAAGTATTGTTTTAAGCCGGTGGGACCCAATAAAAGAGGTCCACGTGTTTTTCTAATGAAAGCAAAATAGCTATTTGATTCAGATGTATCCATGTTTCAACATACGTAAGGTTTAAGGTACACATATTTTTCATACTTCACTTTACATTTTTTTAAGACTCAGTTGCCGACTTAAGTTTTCAAGTGCTAATCTTATAGATACATTTTTGTGATTCACTGTATCGAAGGCTTACGACATATCACAAAAATAGTCCACCATCACAATTCACGCATAATTCTGGTTTTGATTCTGGACAATGACGCCGTAAACGGAAATCGACTTTTGATTCTTGCGAATTATCTTATCTGATGCAAAAGCCAGTTCGCAATAACAGAATGAATGTTAAAATAGAAGAGGATAACGTTTATTAAGAATTCATTTGAACCTTCTGACCTAATGCCACTTCTAATTCCTTGCGTGGATGAAGCCAAAAGAAAATCATCACGCAAGGAAGAGTCTTCGCAATTGAATTCTCTTTTATACACGTAAGTAGAATACAAAATACTATTATCCGAAGAATGACGTGTTAGATAATTATCCACATAGAATTTGCTAAAAGTGATCCAAGGGGAAGGGTGCACCATTAAAGGCTCAGGCCGAGAATCCACCTCACACTGAGGGGTCTAAACGTTGCTCGGACTAAGTGTTTTAGAAAATATATTTATATTTTTTATTCATTTTATTATCTTCTAATATGAATAACATTGTAATCTATGTCAAAATGGTGTAAGTTCCTCCTTTTCTTTTAGAAGCATGGTCAAAATACTATTTTAGGATTAATATTTTTAAAATCAAATATAAATGAATTAAATAATATTTTAAAATAAATCTTGAATATATAAATATGTATTATATATTTTTAAATAAATATTGAATAAATAAATAAGTATTAAATATATTTTAATATTAAATATTAAATATAAACTGAAAAATATATTTAAATAAATTTATTAAACTAAAAGTAAAAACTAGAAGTATAAACTGAAAATATATTTAACAAATTTATTCAATATTAAATTTAATAAATATAAACTAAAATTATATTTAATAAATTTATTTTAATATTAAATATTAAATATAAACTGAAAGTATAATAAAACTAAAAACTGAAAATATATTAAGGATTAAATAAAAACTGCAATAATGTTTAAGTTAAGTATATATTAGTGTAGATATAAATCACAAAGTATAATTGGTCTAGGGGAAGAGAATTTGGTTGGTATGTTAGTGGGTCTAGATTTGGATTTTTTTTTGTAATAAACAATTTTTGAAAAAAAATTCGTAAATAACCATATTTTGGAAAAAATTACACAAATAATCATGTTTAAGAAAACTCCACAAAGGAGGAGCTAACCCAGTTGACGCCTGCACTAATCCATTTTCCCTAGGCGCCATCTCACTTGGCGCATGCTCTCTCTTTTAGTCAAGTGAGATGGCGTATGCACTCTAAAAGTGAGAGGAGGCGCCATCTCACTTGGCTTCTAGGGAAAATGTATTTTTTTAATAAATAAGTCCTCCTTTTCTCCGTCATTCTTCACACTTTCTCGCACTGCCTTCTTATTTTTTTCTCTGTTATTTGCGTCATGACATCTCTCATGATTTTTATCAGAGATGGTTACGTTATTTTCTCGGCCACCAAACCTCCGATGAAAATGAAATTTTGGCACATTCACTCCATGGAGCGTCTGAAGAGAGAGTTGATGCAATGGCTAGAGGGAGACATCGAGGATGGGGAATAAATTAGAAGGATCCAACGAAGAAGAATAGCCACCTCACTTGCAACCGGAAGACCTAATTTTTTATTGGAGGAAGTCAAAACAGACAGAGACGTAATGTTGATGATACATGGGTCAGATGAAATTGTTTTAACGGTTGTAATTTCTTAGACGTTTTATCGTGTTTTTATTTGTTGTTTGCGTGAGTTTGTTGTAACAAACGCTCTTAATGAAAAATCGTAATGTTTATAACATAAAAAAGTAAAGATGTTTTGCATACAATTTTTATGTGGTTGAGCTAGTAGCCCGAGTCGGACAATTTTTGCGATTGTGTCTGACCTGACGACATAAACCATACTTTCTTTCTAGCTTGTCCAGTGAGTCCATTTCAGTTGTCATACGCTTGCTTTTGGAACGATCCTTTTTATTCCTTCGCGTTTGGTTGTTGTGTCAGACTATTTCGCCGTCGTATGCAGGCCAATAATCAGGTTTTGCTACCAATAGGAAGTTGTTGTTGTATACGTTGAGCAAGCTTTCAGACTTGTAAATGGGAGATAGAAGTTGTAATGCGTCTTGATGAGTATAGGCACATATCGCAATGACATGAGTGCAAGGCATACGAAAGTAGAAGTTGCCATCTTGTGCAACTGCCATCACTAGTGTGCCTTTGTATTTCCCATACAACAAAGTCCCATCAATTTGAATAATAGGTTTGCATGACACAAACCCTGTGATACAAGGTTGAAAAGCCCAGAACACTCGACTGAATATTCCATTTCCGGTGACTTGAGTATCATCTGAGGCATACGCCGACAATGTTTCCATAATATAAATAGTATCCGGAGAATAAGTCTGAAGTGCATTCAGGTAGCGAGGAAGTTCTTTGTATGACTCCTCTCAGTTTCCATATACCTTTTCAATCGCCTTGGTCTTTGCTAACCATTCCTTTCGGTATGACGGAGTATAGTTATATACCGTAGTGATGTGAGAGATTATGGTTTTCATCTTCAATGATAGATCATTATTAACGAGAGGTAGGATTTCTTAACATATGATATCATAATTTGATTTTCGATGATCCTGTGATTGAGTAGGATTGACGCACGTGTGGGTGGAAATAGAACCTATGACCCAACAATCACCTCTTAATTTGTATGATGCAGTGAGCTTGAACACACAATCTGGGTGGACACACCTGAGCTTGTATCTTTCTGGATTTACACGATCTACCTTAAAATCGACTGATTTGAGCATGTGAAACTTTTTTATGGCTCGCATAAAATATTCTCTATTACGAAATTTGTCTTTCTCTTTTAAGTTTTCATCCGACTGCATATATGGATTGAAAAATAAATCAGATGACGATTCATCTTCGCCCATGTTGAAGTTTGACATGTGTGGAGGTGGTGTGTAGATCTCGTTCAAAGGTATACCAGGTACCCCATCGTCTTCACAATCATTGTTGACCATGTCATCAAACTCTAACTCGTCATCTTCCTCTTCTTCATCAACGACATCTACTTCTGCTCGTTCGTCTTCGAGAGGACCAACCACTTGTGATTGGGTTGGTCGTGACAACTTAGGCTCCTACAGCACAATGTACAACTCAATAGAATCGCACCCAGAATACTCGTGACTGGAAAACATATTCTGAAGGTCCTCATCATCTTGAACCTTAACCTTATAAAATATTATTTGGTTGTCACCAAAAAAACCGGATTCTGATAAAAAAATTGTGTCACGGGATCTCGTCTAAGTTTGGCCTCCAATCGTTTTTTGAAATACAAGAAATTGGCTTTCCTGTTTAAACAAAATCATATGTTCTCAGTGTCTCTAAATAAAAACCCAGTGGTGGGACAAATGTATGTCTCACCGTTGAAATGTGCACTGATCACATATTATGGTGCAAAGGCCATTGTATTTGAATGTTACTGATCACATAAAGTAACAACAGATTGTCATAAAACAACAATCTATTGTTCTAGCATCTGCATCCCGAAAATCACGTTTTTCCAGCATAAGAACCGATTGTCACCAAACAACAACTGATTGTTATAGTGCACTTTTCCAAAAATCCCAGTTTTGTGTTTGTTGCATGAATTCCTTCTATTTTTCACTTCAACCACCAAACAATAACAATTTTTATGCATCTAAAACATCCCCATATATTTTCTAATAAGATCAATAAATATATCATAGTAATTATCATCAATCTATTAATCATTCTCATGAATTAGAGACTTGGGTTCATGCTCTAAATCACTCAATCTCATATCAATTTTCATGCATTCATTTGATTTTCATGAACAGAACCATAACACATCAACACACATCATTGCAATTTACATCATGACATATAAAAACAAATTTGTCATAGAATTTCCATCAAAAATTTATCAAAATTCAAAGGAATAACAAATCTTATGGAGATTAAGAATCCCTCCACTCTACCCTTCATCATATCCCTATTATTGAACTAAATTCCCATATTCTAGCAAGATGAGAGAATTCCTTGAATTGTTTTCTCTTAAACCCTTCTTCTCCTTCCTCTTGTCCCATCCATTCTTTTCTCTCTTCCAACTCTTCACGTACTATGTAAAACTAAATCCTTTTTCCAATAATATATTCTTCCTAAATATGTTTTCTCTTTATTACCCCCAACTTATCCTTAAAATTATCAGCTTACCCTTAACTCCTCTACACACCTTATTCTCATTATTAATTTAATATTCCAATATATTCACCTAATTAAATAAACACTCTTATTAATTAATCACTAAAAATAGCTCTAAATAATTCTACTAATTCCTATACCACCTACTTATTTTAATTAACTCAACCCATCAATAATTCAAAACACACAACAACACATAT